GTAAATGAATTCTTGTTTTTACTTCTGGATAATGTTTTTCTTTTTATTATTGAATACAATTTTAATGAAAATAAAAGTACTTTAAATTCATAAAATATTGGCCAATTTTTAAGAAAATATGCACAGGTTAAGAGAAGAAGTGGGGAAAAAAACTATCCACTCTAAATTTGTTCTTGAAATTTTGCATATTGACTGACACAAAAGTAAGCTTCATGAAAATAAGAAGAAAAAATGTATTGTTTCGCTTCATTGTAAATTATCTGCCTTGAATTTAACGAAAAAGTCCAATTCAAGGGCAGATAACTCGAAAATGAGAACGGTGACCCCAATTTTTTTTCGTTTATAATGTTTCTGTTGTCATATTCTAATTACATGCCAAGTTTAAAGAAATTCTATTGAACAGTTTTTATTTTGCCTATATGTCTATATGAAAACTCCGGAAATCGTCTTTAAATCGCTTAATGGTTGAAAGAGGAAATGCTTGTTCATCAAGCATTGTTCCATACAGTTAGCGAGGAATTTTTCATACAAACATCGATATTTTTGTCAAATAGATAAATGCTAGTCTGATAAAAATCAATAAAAACATATTTTAATCTAGGCAGATGGTCAATGAGGTGTTGGTAGCCGGTGATCCTAAGAGGATACACATGGAAATATGTGACACTCAAGGTGGAATCTGGTACAGGTCTCGACACTTACTTTTTCAGCAGGTGCTATGCCGGACCACTGGATCCAAAATTTCTGAACACAGGTGGTCCATCTTTTTTTTACTCATTTGTTTTTAAGGAAACTTCAGATTTTAGAAGAACTACAGTTAAAATTGGTAACAGAGACATATTTATTATTAGATTTGTAACAATTGAAGAAAAGATGTATTTTTTCTATTTCAATCTTAAATCAGATAGTAAGTCATTGTAATCCTATTTAGTATTTATTATCTCATTGAAAAATACATGACAGTGACAGTACTCATACATCGGTTAGTGCCTTCTTCCGCAATTCAAGTTAGGGAATAGTGAAACTATTTGTGAATGACTTATTCCCTTACTGTTATTCAAATACTCATTGTTGTTTCCTGATACATCTTATAAGAATAATAATTGCTTTTATAGATTAAAATTTTAATTAAACTATTAAGTTATTATATTCTTGTCTTGAAACAATGAAATATTTATGATAAACAGAAAAATTCCTACATTATAATTGAGCTTATCTTCCTCACAGATTTATTATACATGCTTGTTTGTTGAAATTTATTTATTTTTGACAAAGTATTTATAACCTTTTAAAGTACTTTAAATAAGAAAAAAATAGATCTCTGATTGTTTAAAAAAATAGCCAAAGATTACTTGATATTTAATTTTTTTTGCCTTGTTTGCACCATTATTCATGTGTTTATCCGATATCCCATAGTGATTCAATGTTATAAATTCAATGCAGTGCTAGAGACATTTGAATGAATTTTATACTTAAATTATTAAAATAATTTTCTCCTTTTTTTAACTACACTTTTAGCAGTTAATAAAAAGTTATGGATGTCTTAAGATCTTTTGAACTAATGAGATGAATGAACATATACCTGTACATCGGAGAAATGGCTTTAAACAACAATTATAGAACACGTTTTTCGACCAAATAACCAGATGAGCCCTGCACCATTTGGAAAATTCAAGTGGTCTAATGGACCTGTTGCCTGTAAAATTAGGTGGTCCTTGCCAAAATCAGGTGGTCTCGGACCAATGGACCACCGCTAATGTCGAGGACTGTGGTACCATCCAAACCAAATTAAAAATGCCGTAAGTTTGTGTTTTTTCCCACTTTGTGCCCGAATTGAGGGTTGTACGTACAAGAACAATCTGGGTTATTCTACCGAGAATGGTTTACAAGCATAAGCCTGCCGTTATAAGCTTTCACAAACATTATAAGCTCTTATTTTTCCGGACTCTTTTAACTTTGACCTTCTGCACATTTTACTTCTTTTAAAAGAAGCAGTAACCATATCTTGGAGCAAATCTTTCTTATTTGTTACTTAAAGGAACTCGACTGGGGTCAAAAAGCATTAAGACATCAACTTTAATTTCTCTTATAGAGCAGCTGGAACACTTAAAAAAGAAAGAATTGCATTAGAAAATTTTGAAATATAAACATAAAATATAAATAAATTGAAGAATCGTGTTTCAATGCTATTCTTACCCCAATTTGAGCGAACACTTCTGCGGAGTCCCTTTAACGTTGAACACAATTACCTACAATGGTATCTAGAAGCTTCTGTAAAGAAAACAATACTACAGAATAATTGCTGTACAAATAACAATTTAAATAAAATAAGTTTGAAACAACATATGCACTCGATATCTAATAACAGTGTTATTCATTTCAGAATTTGTTATAGCTGCGTCATTACAAAATTGAAACCTATGAATTCGTTGTAGAAGGCTGAAAACAAAAAAAAATTTTGGATCACCGTCAAAGGACACTGTCAAAAATAATTTTTACTAAGTGCTTTTGCTGTATTATTTTCAATTACAGAATGATATACATGGGTTGTACTTTTAAAAAATAACTTCTTTCATAATAAAGGAAGAATCAAACGCCAACAAGTAGAACAAAAAAGTAAAATTTTTCAATTTTCGCAACTTTCTCCGGCTCTTTGTGCGGATTGACACTTCATTTTCTGGAAGTCGTTAAAGGCAGATAATTCTGATAATTTTCACACCACGCCTTTATCGAATTAATTGCAAGCTTTCTTACGCACAATGTTTTTTGTTATTAAGTATAAGTGTTTTTCTCCTATCCCTTTATATCATTGTGGTCAAATTAAACCTACCTTTAACTTCTTAATTATTTGTTGTCCGTTGTACAAAACTACAAAATTTGAAAGTCGACAACATTAAACTCCATGTATTTCTCGACCCATCACTTTCCGGAAATTGCTAGTTGATTCAAATATCAAGTTATAACCTTGAACATTAAAAACAAATTCTGATTCATTCATAATAATGTACCAAAATATAAAAGGTTTCTTTCATCTAGTCATACATACATTACAATATCAGAAACAACATTATACGAAATGAAAAAATAGTCTAATATAAAGGTAATTTCCGCGAAAAGTGAGAAAAGAAAATTAACGAGAGAGAAATTAATAGATACACTTTGAAACAAAATATTTCATATACATTGTAATTAACACATTCGAAAAAAGAGGGTACCGTATCCATTTCGCCCGAACTACATAATTGTAAATCAAAACAGCAATGCACTAGTGCAAAAAATGTAAATCTATAACTTACCACGGTATTGCTAAACAACAGTGAGAAAGGGAACAGAGAAGATTTGCAGAGATGAACGAGTGTGACACTGGTTATAAGAAATAACTATATACTCAATTGTTCTGATAAAAAAACCTTTCTGATATACCATGGATTTTAATTGCTTGTACACTTATTTGCGATAAATCACTGCGTTTCATCTCGTCAAAGTGAGCAAATGAAACGATGCGCGTGTTCCGTTAAAAATAACACGTGATATTGACACAGTCATAACTTCTAAACTGATTAGGGGAAGCGACTCAAGCTAGGCGTTTTGCAAACTCCCCGAAGCAGTTACTTCCCCTGATCAATACATTTCAGTTTTGTACATAACTTAATATTTCGTAAAAATAACGAAAGTATGTTGTACGGTGTTCCGTTTGGACAATCGTAATTTTTCATTTCGTCCGAACCCGCGTTGTGAAGAAGAGGTGGAAGCAATGTGGGTCTTGGAATTTAAAGACTTCTTTTAATATTCTCGCTTCTTTCAATATTCAAAGTGAATTCAAGTGGAAACGCAGCTTTAAAATGACATTATGCTTATATTTTTTTTCGTTGTCAAGTTGAATGCCTCTGCTTCCCATGTAATTTTCATAGTTTATTTTTTTAAAATTCTGGATTTTCCATTTTTATTTTGTTTGATTTTTACTTGTTAAACGTTTATTTTTAACAATGTGGCGAAATATGCCACACGGCCTCTAAGAGTTAAATATTTTTATCCACAAAGTTGTAGACATATTAGTTCTACACAATCATATCATACATGCTATGAAGCGATGCAGATGAAATACCGCCGGTGTTAAAAGTGAAAACGTGTCTAACAATATAAATTTCACATAGATATACTGATAAGAGGGTCACTTTAGAAGTTTAAAGTTATATTTACACGGTTCATGTGAATACAGGTGCCTTAAAAACTGGTGAGTATGTTAGAATTGTTTTCTTCTTATGAAATAGTATAAACTTTAAATTTATGGTTAGTTATCAGATTACTTAATTAATAGCTGCATTTGTCTTTTTTAGATAATAAGTTGTTCGCTTAATATCATTACTTATATACCCATATGTTGATTTTAAGAGCAGTTTTGTCTGTTGATATTATGAGGTGTACAAGCGATTTGAAATGGATATTTTGGACTCGAAAAAAAAAAATCTAGATGGGGTGCAATATCTAATAATTATTTGTATTGGGAGATTTGATTACATTTTATAAGGTGTGAAATAAAAGTATTGGTCATATACTTAATGTATTCTTGTGCATTTCAACAATAAGCTAATGTAGTAATTTTACGCTACAAAATGCGATACGCACATCATTAATAAAGATGTGATACTACATATATGTCACCTAATTGACACGTGAATATTTCTGAATATTTTGGTCACGCGGATAACTGAGTAAAACCTTTATGATTATAAAACAATGTCACATGCATTTGTTTCATGTATCGATAGTTTTAAATTTGTTTCGACTATAGTTAATTCATATATTATCTATTTCCTTATTTTTCTTAACTTTATAATATCGAACGGGTTTTGTTTAATACTTAATCGGGCAATTACTGTGCACATGGAGCACTGAAGAATTAAAACTATTTCCTTATTAAGATCAAAATAGTGCAATGAAATCAGCTTTTTCACGCTAATTTCGATATTTCTGACATTATGACGATTTTTGCACGTGTTATAGTGTATGCACATGTTACCTAATTTTGTATTATCGTGACGTAACTTGGAAACAAGATTTTGTTAATAATTTACGTCAATACAGATAAAGAATATCGAGTTTCAAAATAAAAAGAGAACTAAAGTAGGACTTAGGAAGATCTAAAATAATATAAAATGGACAAATAAAACAGATAGCCGACAGTGTATGTGCTTAATTTCTATTCAAATTTAACTTCTTTTTCATTCCATAGTTTATTTCACAATGGCATCAGAAGGATCAATTGTTCCCCTGCACGAGTTTCACGCGTTTGTCGTCAGGTGTATGAAAGCAGTTGGGATCTCAGAAGAACATGGATCATCACTGGCTGATCTTCTGGTATCTGCAGATTACAGGGGCCACTACAGTCACGGCTTGAACAGACTGGGTGAGTTTTGTATAAGTTTTAAATATAACCAAAAAGTCCTGCTATGCCGGTATAAACCCTTTTATTTTGCTGTATGATATATTCAAGAAATCTGTAACACGACGACAAGTGGAGGCCAAAGTTTTACATCTAGTACATATTTTGTGGAACTCTTTTTATATTTCACATTCTATGTATATTATTGTATAAGTGACTGTTGCCTAGCATTTTGAATAAACTGTTCAACTGCGCTCAATCTCGCGCAAGGAATTGTGGCTCTGGGCTGGAAACTTTTCTGTTTTTAGAGCTTATTATAATAATAATGATAATAATAATAATAATAATAATAATAATAATAATAATAATAATAATAATAATAACAATAATGATGATGATGATGATGATTATTATAATAATTTACAAGGGAACAATTTAATACCTCACTCGCTTTACAGCAGTAGTCAATGCACGTTATGTTTTATGACATTGTTATACACTTTGTTTATGACGATTTAAAATTACAAATGTATACCATTTTTGTTCAATATCATGCATATTCAAAAGCTTTTTTTTAAAAGGCGGTTTCGTTCAAAGTAAATGCTTAAGCATACAATTTATATAAGTAATAATTATAACTGAAAAGTAGGTTTAAATGAAATTTATGGTAGTATGACGGAAAGTCAAATTCAGGTACGTTGTACCGAAACGTCTGAAAACTAGATGTTATGAAAACATTGGTGTATGTAATAATAGGTGATTCGTTGTAATTGCAGCATTTAAGATAAGATATACTGAAACAAAAAAGAAACTTTCTCCAAGTTTGAATGTAGATATGTTAGTACAGTTTTTCAATCCTTTTGAAACTCGATTTTTACGTTGAATAAACACATCGGGCTTTTATACGGGGATTAGCTGACCGATTTTGCAAACAAAACGAGTTTTACAAGCTACTACATGTATATAAGTGTGTACATCTAAGTGGTACCCTTGAACAACTGGCACATACTTTGCGAAAGTTTCTTTTTAAGCTCAGTATACATATATTTTTCGTCCATTTTATAGAATTGTAAGAAACTTATTCAAGGGTGCTGTTAATGCGGAAGAAATTTCAAAATATCAGATGCCTTAAACAATAATAATAAGAACAATAAACATTAGTGAATTGATATGCAATATTGACAATTATTTATAATGTACAATATTTCCATAATAAACAACAGGTTGATTTCTTCTGAATTCTAATTATACATAGACGGACATTTCATTTTTGAAGCATAAAATTGCATAAATTCAAATAATTCTCAACCTGTGATATTGTTATTTTATGACTTATCGTGCATTATAATGACAAAATCAATGTCTTCAATATGATATCTTAAACATCTGTAGTTTTTTCTCATCGGGACACGCGTTTGTTATTGCGAGAAAAGATTTATCACGTGAGACACAAATTGTGCTTGGATATTCCATATCTAACTTGTACGATGATAAGATTTGTCCAGTTTGTGATATCTGTACAATAGAGTTTGTTCTCAAACTACAAACCAGGATAGTATCAAAGGGACCAACTGCTACACCATACGGCTCCTTTAGCTGATCATCCTTCACCACGACTCTTTTATTTATCTTGACGTCATATATGTAGACAGTATGCTCGTATCTATCTGTAAGCACCACTTTATCACTGCTCCTTATGTAATTACAAGCGCTTGTATCTATAGGATATGACTTAGTCGGAAAGCTAATATTGAAATCTTTCTCTTCTCCTGTAGATGATATAATACGAACAGGTCTTGAATGATTAATTATCCCAACGACAAAATGTTTTTCATCTTTTTGACATATCGAGTCATACTGTGTTGTCACTGTAATTGTTCTATCTAAAGTTATGTCATTAAATTTGTTAACATCGAGAATGTCTAACTTTAAAGCACTAGCACTTGTTATCGCTACACTATCCTCAGATACAGCAACAACGGATTGTGGCATGTAAAATAACTGATATGATCCTACTTTCTCAAGCTTGTCATTGTAGACTAAAAACTGTTTGTTTCTATTATCAACAGCAACAAGTCTTCCATTAGGTAAAAAATCAATCCCTGAATACAATGGCTCTTTTATATCATCCTCTTCCTGCTTTAAATCAATGGACTTTACTGGTGTAAGAATCATTGCTTTGTTAACAGGAACTATAGTATTGGCTACCTCTGATAGACAGAATGTTAGAGTCAGTTGTCCTGGTATATAATCAGTGACTGACAGAGGAGGAAGTTTTAATGTTTCATCAAAATCAAAGCTTACAGTCACGGTCTTTAAATCATGACATTCTGCATCGACATTTCTGTGAAGAACATTGACGTCATTCTTCATCTTCTGCTCTACTATAAATTGTTGTACCAGAGATCCGTTCTGATGCACGTCGCCAATCGTTTCAAGACATGCTGTTATATCAGCTAGATATTTTTCGTTTCGAGACTGGTTTATTGTCAGCTTGTCTAATGTCTCTTTCCGAAACGATTGAACGTCTTTAAGAACGGAAACTTCCAACTCGTCAAACATTTTCATTACTTCATCCCGCTTTCGACGTATTTTGACTAGTATTTCGTTAGCATCTTGATCTAGTTTCTCTTTTGATGAGACAATGCTGTCTACGATTATGTTAGCCTTCCTTCTCACTTCCTCCATTTTAACCTTTAAAGTAGAACCTTTATCCGTTGACCTTTCAGCGACCTTCAGAATTTCCACAATACTGTGACATTTACGATGATTAAGAATGGCACAGGTACTGCAGCAGAGCTGATTCTCATCTTCACAGAATAATTCTAGAACTTTCTGATGTTGATCACATTTGTCTAATCCTTTCATATCAAACGAGCCTTGTTTCCTTTTTGCCTCATTTGCGTTCACTAACTTGTGACTTTTTAAGAAGACGTGAGTATTGTGAACGTTGGCACAATCCAAACACTGAAATTCATTACAAGTTGGACAAAACTTTTCCGCTGTTGTTTGTTTATTGTTATTCAAACATGGTTGACACAGAATTTCCTTAACTCGCCCGGACACTTCACCATTTTCCACATTGTTTTCAGCCATTTTGATATAAATTTATTCCAATCAAAAGCAATGTCTATATACCTCTGTGTAATATATTGTAACTGGTTACCACTGGTACTATCGCTTGTCACTATATAGTATGAATTACGAGATAACACAAATATCAACGAGGAAGAATGCCCCAGATAGATTCAAACTGTATCTGTTGATTGTGTGACAATGATTATTGGATATATGCAGTCATTATCTATACTAAGATATAAAGAGGATCTTACATGTTAAATTTATTAATCGAGTTTAATTAAATGATAAAATTAAAGACTGTGCCGAATGTAAGATTCTTTTAATTACGCAAGTCTTGGACATAATTCATATGTTACAATATATACCAAATATGCCTTTAAAACAAATATTATGAGTAGTTGTACTTGACATTATGGAATGATAAACTTTCTTTGCTTATGATTATTGTTGTTTGAATAAATTATTACTTGATAAATGCATAACTATTTGATTTGGACTAATTTAATTATTTTTATGTTAGGCCCTTTTATCCAAGATCAGATTTTGACACTACGGATCAGTCTACGAGGTATGATCAAAAAGTTCTTTGCCCAATATACTTCTAGCCACTTCACTGACATTTTCACACGATACGTCGATACCGATATCTTATATAAGATTAATGACCGAGTTACACGCGGTTTTACACAGATCTTTTAGACCAAAGGGATGCCCCCACCCCCTCAAGGAAATCAATGAAGACTTCATGGATACACTTGTGAAGGAGTTCCCTTCCTATAGCACTGTACAAAATGGGTAGCTGAATTTAAGAGGGGCAGGGAGAGCATTGGAAATGATGAGCGGCCTGGGCGTTTGAAAAAGGCCACCAACGATGAAACTGCCGAAGCTGTGAACGATCTGAACATGTGCGACAGAATGCGACACCTGCGAAGCATTGCTAGGGAAGTGGGTATAAGCTTTGGTTCAGTTCAGGCAATTCTGACTGATGTCTATGGCATGTCAAAGGTTTCCGCTAGATGGGTCCCAAGACAGTTGACTGACGACCAGAAACGAACCAGGCCTGACATTTCAAGATATATTTTGTCTCGCTACAGGATAATAACTCAGTATGAAACATGGGTCCTTCACTTCGATCCAGAATCTAAAAAACAGAGCATGCAGTTGAAGCACCCTGGCTCACCTCCTCCGAAGAAATTCAGAGGTTGCCATCAGCAGGGAAGCTTCATTTTTATGCTCCCCGAATGGTGAGCATATAGTTGCCTCTTTGTCCGTCTGTCCGTCTGTCCGCTTTTCTTGTCCGGGACATAACTTTGAAACAACAAGAGGTATCAACATGAAACTTTGTAAGTAGATATATCTCATTGAGTAGGTGAGCAGTGCACAAGAACCGTAACTCTACCTTGACTAATACTTAAATTATTGCCCTTTGTTTATTTTTACACTTTGAACTTTGTCCGGGACATAACTCTAAAACAGACAGCTTTGTCTAATTTTGGAGTCATTGCCCTTTGTTCATTTTTATACTTTGAATTTTTCCCGGGACATAACTCTGAAACTATAAAAGATATCAACACGAAACTTTATAGATAGATCTCATTGAATAGAAGTGAAGTGCGAAAAACCATAACCCTGCCTTGCCTAATTTTGGAGTTTTTGCCCTTTGTTCATTTTTATACTGTCCTGTGTCCAAAACCTTCTCGGGGAGCATGACCGGTTCTTGTTTGGGGATAGTCAGGGGATAATCATAATTGACTATCTTGAGCTAGGTCGTACCATAAACAGTACGTACTATGCAGACGAATTGAGACTCTGCGTCAAGAAATAGTGCGTAATAGGAGGGGCAAACTGACTCAAGGCGTTCTGCTCCTGCACGACAATGCGCCAGCTCACACATCCCAAGTTGCAATGGCTGCTGCAACTGACTTCGGCTTTGAAATTCTTCCCCTGCCCCATATTCTCCGGCTTTGCCCGCCCACCTCTGATTTCTACCTGTTTCCGAAACCGAAAACCAAGCTTCGTGATAGACGTTTTGGAAGCAATGAAGGTATCAAAGAGGCGGTCGATGAGTTCTTTGAGGACCAATATAGAGAGTTCCATTCTGAAGGGTTAAACAAGGTGGGCAAAGTGCATTGATGTAGAGGGCGATTATATTGAAAAGTAAGACCATTAGTTGGGTTCTCTGACTACCGGAAGTACATCGGGCCAAGAAATTTTGATCAAACCTCGTATCTTGTAAATTCCTTAAATTCCTAAAGCGCTAGGGAACATTGACAGAAAAAAAAATTACGGTCAATTTCTGTTAGAGAAATTTTAGAAATTACCAAGATAGAAGTACGTGCTATGAAATGCTGCTTTGTGCCAGGCCAGTATAAGATAGTATATGTCTAGTTTAAAAGATAAGAATGATCAATATATTAAGTGTGTATATAATAAAGGTTAATTTTCTACATAAAATTACAAAATAAAACAAATGTACACTTATTTTAACGTGTTCAGTGTAACGATATACAATGACAATTAATTGACTGATCTTTAGACACCAAACATTTGCATTGAATTTGTTATTGGGCATCAAATGTGTGCAAGTAACTTAAGATTCGTAGAATCATTACATACTGTTTCGGTCATAAAGACCATCCGATTCATTAATTAATTCATTCATTCATTCATTCATTCATTCATTCATTCATTCATTCATTGACACATTTACTCACTCACCCACTCACTCATTCATTAATTAACATATTCATTTTAGACATATATAACGTATATAACTGACGTGAAAACGAAGACAACCGTGGCAATAGAAAATCCAGAAATTGTCAAGGAAACCATAGCAACAGCGCTGGTAGAAGGCAACAATATTCTAGGTAAATATAAAAGGTTTTTTATCATACATTGAACGTTTTTGATATATATCATAAGAATGACATGTATGTACATGTATGCTATTTTCATATGTATATGTGTCAGCTGTTTTACAAACTTGTGTTTTGAAATACTCTATTACACATTGTTCTGGAGACGCAGACTGTTTAAAGCGAACATATACAAAGGAAAACATATGTACTCTTAATGTTCATTACATATCTCATTCAGCCTTGCCGTTATAATCTTAATTTATGGAGAGTAAAAGGCAACTCGAATATGAAAATATAGATACTGCAACTTTTCGAGATTTTTATATTTTTCATATTTGTGACAGGACCTGTGATTGGTCGGTTTTGCATGGACCTTGCCATTAAGAAAGCAAAAGACGCTGGCATTGGTTGGGTGTCGGCACGAGGTATATTCTAACGAAGTTACTTAAAACCAATACTTATGAAAGGATAATGTAAATTAAGAATAAATATCTTCTTTTTATATATTTCCTTTTTATTTACATACAGTTGTGTAAAGTACACTTCAGAATTTTTTGTAATGATGAAAATTTGAATGTTTGATACAAAAATAGAGCACTCATTGTTAGTTCATCTTCATCTTGGATATGAAGTGACAAATTTTGTTTGGCAGCAGACTTTGTACCTGTTATGGCCTCTTGGATAATCAGATCAATTTATCTATGTTTCAATATTTTATGTAGACAAATTCGTGGCAATGCTTCTTTCCATTTATCCGTGAATACAATAATACATAATTATATTATCATTGATATCAAAAATAATCATGAACTTGTACTTTTTCATTTATTTGATGCCTTTTTTTAATGAAATAATGAATAGAACAGAAAGACCAATATAAGCGTATACTGAGAAAATGAAAAGCATATCTAACTTATTTTGAATAGGTTCAAATCATTTTGGAATCGCCGGCTGGTATGGTCTGTATGCATTAAAGCACAGAATGATTGTAAGTTAAGTACAAAGGGGCATAGGTGTCATTGAAATAAATGCATATGTCCTGAATGAAGATTCTTTTAACATTATTTCTATCGGAATTAAAGAAAATCAATCAAACTATTAATTCATTTGTATCTTAGATTCCAGTATATTCCAACTTGAATACCGATATATTCGAATAAATATATGTTATATACCACTCAATGTATATTTGGTAATGTATGTTTTTTTTTTAGATATTACTTAAGTTATTTTAATTACTCTTCTAAAATAGGTTATACTCTTGCTCTTATATTTTCATATAATTATTTTTCTACGAAATAGCTGACCAAAGATATTACCAGTCTGAATCATTAGCGTTGCTTATTACTGTTAATCTAAAAGGATATTATTTCTATCATGTAGGGTATGGCATTTACAAATACATCACCTTTGTTGGTTCCCACAAGAGCCAAACAGGAAGTGCTGGGTACCAATCCAATATGTGTTGCGGCACCAGCCAAAGATGGCGATAGTTTCGTATTAGATATGGCTACCACTGCCGTGGCGTTAGGAAAGGTTAAACTTACGTTTTCATTTTGGTTCCATTGTTTCGGGCATTGCTTAAAGTATAGTGAACGATGTGGCCGGTTAAGTTATTTACTAACCTATAAAGCAGCAGGACATTAAAGTAACAGGAAATACAAATCACAAAAAAGATCATAAACAAATACTTATGATGTGTTCATATTGTGCATGCCTGGCGCCGTTTTTAAATGTTACACAATCTTTGCAATGATGACAATATTTTCTTCGGGCGGGCTAGACAAACATTTGAACAACTCTTTTACCTTTCTAATTTGTTTATTAGCAATCACGTGATACATTTTCATACGAATATACACATATGTATTTATAATGTAGATATGAATCCTCATCAATATGTATATAGCTATGTAAGGCATATCCTATGAGGTATAAAAAGTATATAGAGTGATAAAAATGAGAAAACCGTGCAATAATTTCAAAATTCAGCCATTAATTTTAGATAGAATTGGCGGACCGCAAGGACCAACCTATACCTGTTGGCTGGGCAGTGGATAAAGATGGGAAATCAACAACAGACCCTAAACAAGCAACAGGTTTAAGTCCTCTTGGTGGAGCAGAGAATACATGTATGTGTATATTTTATATAAATGCTATTATTTCAACTTTATTATTTGTTTTTACACTCATAATTTCCGTTCTTCTTTTTGCTGCTAATTGTTCCCCTTTTCATTCGATAAATCCCATTTCCACGTGTTATTTATTATGTGTGTTATATATTTCTTCATTTCTGAATGCGTAAAAGTGCGATTGTTGAATTAACAAAAACAATCATAGATTGCAACATTTTGGCACCTTCTAAAAAGTATGAGTAATCGGTGGTTGCGATGAGATTTCCGGCTGAAATGTAAATTTGTTCATCATTTCTTTACAACTGATAAATTGAAATATTTTGATATTTTACTGCTTTTTGTTTACAATGCTTTCGTTAGTTCTAAACATCGTCCTTCCGAGATTATAAAGTTTATGGATATCCGCATCGTCGGTTACCCACGGTATATATTCCGTACATACTACATTATCTAAACCTACGATAAATATTCCGTACTATGGACAATTAGGTTGTATCCGTTGAAGCTTCTTTCACTATGATGGTTTTTCAACATGAATGATATGTCATTTGTCAAAATTATGAATTAACCTTTATTTCTCCGCTCTTGAATTCTTAATCAATCAAGTCAGTACAAAAGATAAAGTGTGTTTTATTTGTTTTAAGCCGGGTACAAGGGCTATGGATTGTCAATGATGGTAGAGATTTTCTGTGGAATACTCAGTGGTGCCAATTACGCTCACCATGTCCGGAAATGGAAGGAATCTCATAGACAAGCAAACTTGGTACACAAAACTTATACGCACTTTGGGTTTTTAGAATTTTAATTAAAACTATAAGCAGGTATTTAATGTCTGATTATTTTAAAGCGACAACATGTAGCAAATTTCGACTGTAAACATCCCTAGAATAAAGTTGAATACTAGTATTCTTTAACTTTGGCCTTTTTCTTATACTGGTATTATATTTTAAAGATACATGTAATGTTAAAACTGAAACAAGTGTACTACGAATTTCAACTAGCATTAACAAGCCTTCCATTGTCAAATTCACAGTCATTCAACCGAAATCAGCATTCCAATGAAATCATCCAGCGTTATTTCGGTTTCAATATTTCTGTGTATGTATTCTATGCTTAATGAGGGTTCACCAAGCCTTTCAGGCACTGAGAGTACGGACGCTTTTTGACATATCACACCACAAATTGTCTTCTATAGCCGTGACGATAAAAAAATCATACTCTCGTTTTCAGGGCCAGTGCTTTGTTGCAGTGGATCCGGAAGCGTTTGCACCTGGGTTTGCAGACAGACTAAGTGATCTTATGCAACATTGTAGGAATCTTGAACCAGTAAGTCTATACATTGGATGTCACAAACATTTATCACCCTTAGTGAGATGGTATGTAATTTGGATCTTGCTATCGATGTCTGTCTTTCAGTCCGTCGACTCATGAATGAGCTACTGAGTGGTTTAGAAAAATCCTTAACAATGAATGGATTAATAACATCGTGTTTAACTAATTTAGGTGCTGAAAGATTGAATAAGAGGGAATGCCCGTTCATCAAGCATGGTTCCATTTTGTAAGCGAGAAACTTTGTATATAAACAGTATAAAATTGTAAATTCCGTATGTACTCACTTAGTTTTTACCAATTTCTTTAGTTCGATTGTGTTGGAAGCTTATTGGAACACTTTCGAAACCGTTGCTGGCAACAAGCACGTTCAAAGTTTCTTGCCAAAGGAAAAAACAACGTCTTGTCCCTGAAAGGGTTTGAACCAACGCGGCCAGCAATCCGTAGATTGCTAATGGAATCCTTAGATTACTACTCCGACCCGCTAACTTCTCGGCCATTCCGCCACACTTCTTTCGCATTTGGTAAACAAATGTCGTTGCAGCAATTTAACATTTGATATTAATTATTTGATATATAGAAAACTGGTCAAAATTAAAATGCAAGTCGGATATGAATCAATAAAAATAATTCATTTTAGGCAGATGGTCAATCAGAGGTGTTGGTAGCCGGTGATCCGGAGAGAATACACATGGAAAAATGTGACAATCAAGGTGGAATCTGGTACCATCCAAACCAAATTAAAAATGCCGTAAGTGTTTTTAACTTTAACCCTGGATTGAGCGTTACGCGTCTGTGAATAATCGCTAAAAATATATATCGATGATTTGATCCCATTTGTCATTTAAGCTTGTTTTTTTAATTAATTAATTCATTCATTAATAAATTAATTAATTGATAAGTAAACAAGCAGTTTTGACTTCCGAGAGATAATCCCAAACAACGTTGATTTCGTCAAGTAATATACGGTTTTAATTTAGTGCTGAATTTTGTATAATTATATTTTTAGATATCACAGCAGAAATCTGATTTTCAAAGAAACTATCATTTTGTGAACAGATATACTTTCATTGAATGAAAATTTAGTACATATGTGCATGCCAAACAATACGTTCTGCGGTGCCTTATATTGTATCGTGCCCTTACCAATGAGTTTAGTTGTGCACAAATTATGAGCCTGTCTTTATAAGATTTTACTGTTTCGAAATTGTCCTTTTGTCCTCGACCGTAAACATATTTTATGAAACTAAAAGGATATAATAACTATACCTCTCAATGTTTAGAACCTTTTTGTAATGGAATAATTTATACAGAATAATGTATGTACAAATAAATATTAAAATTAACTCGACAGACAATATATACACTCGATGTAATATAGAATATTTTTATTTTATTTCAGAATGATATAGCTGCGTCATTACAAATTGAGCCAATGAAAACGCTGTAGAAGGCTGAACGCAAATTCTAGATCACAGTCAAATGGACACACTGTCAAAACATTTTTACTATGTGCTACTGTTGTGTATTATTACAATTACAGATGATATACTTGTGTTGTGTTTAAACAATATATTAAAAAGAAAGAATCAAACGCCAAGTACATTTCAATCGCATCTTCTCGGACCTTTCCTTCAAACTTTAGATAAGAATTATGAATAATAACCGAAAAGTTCCGATTGCGTACACATGCCTTAATTCGAACTAATGGCAGCTATCTTAAAGGCAAATTATGCCTAAACAAGAGGGCCAAAATTGTCTTAGATCGCTCACCTGACCTATCGAACTCATCCAAGCAATTACTTAGCCAAGCATCCAGACCAAGTTTGATGACAATAGAATAAAAAAAATGTGACCTCTAGAGTGTTAACGAGGTTTTTTAATATTTGGGCAGTGTGACTTAGTTTTTGACCCCCTGGTGACCCATATTTGAAATGACCTTGCAATCATCAAAACAAACTTGCAGACTAATTTCCATGATATTTGGATCAGAAAGTAGCCACTAGAGTGTAACAAGATTTATCTATTTTTAGCTCCTGTTATCTAGTTTCTGACCGATACGACCCGTATTCAAACTTGACCTAGAAGTCATCAAAACAACCTTCCTGATCAATTTTCAGAATATTGGATCAAAACTGCAGCCACTATTGTGTTCAGAATATTTTTCTATTTAGCTCCTGTGACATAGTGACCAAAGAAGACCCATATCAGAACTTCACCCAGAAATTTTCAAAACAATCTTCATGATAAATTTCCAGAATATTTGGATCAAAACTGAAGCCACTAGAGTGTTAACAAGATTTTTCTATTTTTAGCTCCTGTGGCCTAGGTTTGACCGGAGATGACCCATATTCGAAGTCGCCCTACAAAACATCAAAACAACCTTCCTGACTGATTTCCAGAAACTGCAGCCACTAGAGTGTTAACAAGCCTTTTCTCTTTTTAGGTCCTGTGACCTAGTTTTTTTTACCCGAGATGACCCATCTTCAAACTCGATCTGTATTTTATTGAGACAAACATTCTGACAAAGTTTGATGATAATCCAATCAAAACTGTGACTGCTAGACTGTTAACAACCCAATTGTGACGACGCACAACGCACGACGACGGACGCCGGACATAGTCCCATCACTATACCTCACCTTAACCACTTCGTGGTCAGGTGCGCTTAAAAACAATGGAAGTATATTATTTTTATATTCGTATAAAATATCTTCTTGAAATAAATGTTGATAGGGTTTTATGTTACACATGTACGCGAACTTTTATACAAATACGGTTATGGTTATGTTTGGATAAACCAAGATATGGAAGATTTTAATATGTTTATATTTTCTTTTAAACAACGTATTGCTGACTGTTTGGAACAAAATTGGTCTGACGACATCCATTCCTCTACTAGATATACATATACTACATTTAAATCTTTATTGAATGTTGAACAATATTTAACTATGGAACTGCCATTTCCTTTTAGGAAATCACTTGCGCGTTTCAGATGTTCAAATCATAGGTTAAACATAGAAATTGGGCGCCAATATGGTATTGAGAGATCAGATAGAATATGTCCATACTGTTTTATCAATAGTAACCGTTTAGTTATTGAAAATGAATATTATGCCTTTTTTATTTGTCCGAAGTTTGATAGTATAAGACAACAATATCTGTTTAATTGGGAAGACTAGAACCAGTTAATTTCTCATACTTAATGAAAACCGAATATCATCCTACATTAAAAAGTTTAGCATTGTATGTAACCAAACTTATGACTGATATTGATAACAATTGATTAGTTTCAAATAATTTTTTTTTTCTAGAATATTACATGAATGTCTATTGTATAGTGTTTTAAAACAAAAGTCTGATTTTCTTTCTCTTTTTCTTCATGCATTAAAAGGACTAGTTTTTGTATTCTTTTTATTTTTTTTCATTTTCGGAACTTGATACTGCGTGTTTTACATTAAGGGTTGTGGTAATATGTATATTCTCTACCTTGTTGTACAATGTTAAAAATTATGGAATATGCTACTATTTTGTATTTCATAACTTGTGACACAATCAGATGTATATGTATCTTTCTGTTATTATATTGTGTATTTGGGCCGATGGCCTAGAATTACATTACAATAAACTTGAAACTTGTTATTACGTATGATCATTCATATGATGAATAACAATATTGTGTTCTAAGTATGAACATTCATATGAGGAATAACAATATTTTGTTTTAAGTATGAACACTCATATGAGGAATAACAATATTTTGTTCTAAGTATGAATATTTATATGAGAAATAACAATTCTTTGATCTAGAACACTTTATAATTTGCTGTATATACGTATGATAATGCATATCGGACCACTTTCCTACAACATATATGTATAACCGTTTCTAACATATCTTCATGTATGATATGAATAATGTATATGAGTGATAATACCAAATTGTATTTGTATGTTTGTATTTATTAATGTATGTTGTATATGTACGTAATAACGAGGGACTGTTATGTGCAAGTCATATTGTATAAAGAAATTGTTATGTTCTGTTCTATGATAATGAATTATTTAATACAACATAATTATTTTATGGCATTAGATGCCTACCATTATACAGACCATTTCACTTTATGATGTTAAAAATATGACAACCAATAATGTTTAGAATATCATTAAAAATTAACGATTTAGTGTAACAGATATCTAAGAATGTCAATCTTTCAAATTTATTTAAATGTTATCTACGATAACACATTCAATTAATAAATCTGATTTTTTGCTACATGTTTGTAACATACTGTTGCGTTTATAAATTACACTGAAACTTCTGTTTTTTGTTGTCGTTGTTGTTGTTGCCTGTTTTAATTGTTTGTTTGGTTGTTTCTTAATTTTTTGTGTCTGTAGAACTGGGACACAATGGTATGTCAATGTGTAGAAGCGTAGAATAAGCTTAACATTAAACTATTCAGTGAAATAAATACACAATTTTGAATGTCGAACTTTGTTAATTCAGATTACTTTGAAATGGTTTACAGCAATAACGAGAATAAATCTATCAATACCATCAAGGGATTTCATAGTTCATACTGTTGTAAACACGGAAATAATTTAGGCACAGCTGTCCGCGTGAGAAAAAGTTATGAATATTTTATATGAGTCATCAGAAAGTCAAGAACCATCATGACTCGCATCTTGCCATGTCCGTGGACTTATAATAGCCGAGATGTTCCGATTGGTACCATCATGACACGAAGACTTCAAACGCAAACGCTGAATATTTAATAAGGAGAAAAGACATTTGGTTGATAATAGAAAGCGTTCATTCATACTTTATAAAATAAGTTGTGACATATTTGTTTCAGTCTTTGTTGTCGCAGTTACTTTTTTACACGCTTTGTTGCCCACATCAGAATTATATGACCGAAACCTACAGTTTCAGTTAACCTTTTTCACCCTTTGTTGCCCACCTTTAAATTATATGGGTGATACCTATAGTTACAGTTAACTTTTTTTGCTTGCATTGTTGTCCACCTCTGAATTATATGGCCGATGCTTATTGTTTCAGTTAATTTTTTTAAGCTTTTTTGCCACATTTGGATTAAATGGCCGATAGCGTAACGCATTGTTGGCAACAGTCTAATGTTTTGGGGTTTTGTTTTTAAAATTTTATATCATATAGTCCAGTAAACGATTTCGACATTTGAATCGTTTCTAAATTCAATTTATCTGTTCGAGCAATGTTTGAAAGATCTCGAATTTTAACCAATTGATAATCGAGCATTAGGAATTCTACGTGCATCAATTTGCATGTATATAAACATGTTTAAATAATTTAGCACTAAGAAGGGTATTACAATTGTTTCTGGTTTAAATTCGAAATTGTTTTTGGTTTGTGCAAAACTGCGCGTGTAGAACCGGTGATCGCGCAACGGCAGTGTTTTTTTCTTTAAATTGTTACGAATCATAAATGTTCTTAAAAATACTAGTTACTGGAACTTTGATGCTTCCTTAGGTTTACAGCGAAGAACATTTTGGAAAAATAGACATTGTACAAAATAGCTGGAAAAAATATGTATAAAGAATATATATATATGAAATACTAAATTACATAATATCAGACGAAAATGACAGATTTTCAAGTCGTTCATTATTATCAACATCTTTATGAGTACCTTTAATTTAAACTTAGTTGTTGCCTCTACCTTTAATGCGGCGGTAATATGTATGTAATATAATGTAAGTAAGTAAGTAAGTAAGTAAGTAAGTAAGTAAGTAAGTAAGTAAGTAAGTAAGTAAATATTTTATTAATGTGTCATATGTAAACATACAAGCAATGAACAAACAAGACATGTATAAACAATAGTATACACCCGGCCCAATGGGCCTATAAGACACAAACAACATGAAGACAATAAATCTGAAAACACGTGAACAACATAAAAGGTATGTTTAGATAAAAAAAAGAAAAAGAAAAAGCAGAAAGATCTTATTTATCTTCTAGCTCAAAAGAAATACTAATTTATTCTAAATAGTTTAACCACAAGAAAGTACTGTATAAGAAATTCAATGTTGTCCGTAAATATATTTGACAAATAAGAATCGAATGCCCAAAATTTACAAGTTACATTCAAGATTTGTTATCATTTGAATACGTTGAATTATTATGACAGATTTTTCATAAAATATATGTATCACCTGTTTATAGAACCTTTCACTATGGTTTATCTCAATATCTTAGTATGATTGTAACATCATGTACAAATTAAACACGTTTATTGAAAAGTTCTGAATATGTTAACGTGGTATGATTTTAAGTTCCGAGTACTTAACTTTAAACAATACTAAAACGAAAACGAAAATTTAACATTATTCAAAGTTCATTGATGGCTTAGCTTAAACTGTAATCTAAAGATAACTGACCACGTCCCTTTAATGCATTATATCTTATAATTCATAAAAATCATGCTATACTATTTCTAAGTCGATAATAACTCTAACATACAGTTACTGTGATAAATAAGGGATTATCAAAGATTATAGAAAAACCGTTACGACTGTTCAAACCTTAATGTATATCAATAAAATATGATAATAAAGTTCAGATTACAATGTCATAAAATGTCCTAATACAGTCCAAAAAATAGTAAATATTTAAATGAATAAGTAATCACAGTTTCAGTGTCTATGAAATAAATAGCCTCATATATGCCGATACTAAGAATCTAGCTAGTTTTCTAGGGTGATTCTGAACAATATGTACAAATTTGTCACTGTCTGTAAATTGGGTTAATTGATCATTTGAAAAAAAATAAATGGTTGAGTCTTATATCATGGTACAAGCTACATTTTAAAACGAAATGCATTTCATCCTCAATAGATCCTGAATCACATAATGTACATAGCCTCTGTTCTGGTAATTCACCGACATATCTTCCTGTTAATGTATTCAGTTTATCTTCCGCGGATGTTAACACGGCGTGTTATGCTTACTAATTATAGAAGTGGGTAATTAACAAGGATTTTACGCATATTCATATAGTAAGTTATATTTTATAGATATATATAAAAATATTTTTATTTTTTGTTGAGGAATTGTTATTTATATGCACATCGGCTTACCAGCTAATTAAGAAGATAATGCATTTAGTTATATGTATGTATAATCGCCGTCTAATAACTGCGTTTTCATGCTAATAAGCGTTTACACTAATTAATAATTACAGTTACAGTCAATCAAAATATTAAGGTCGACCTATAACTCGCTGTATATATAATTAAATATTTATAGGTCGTTTACCACAGTTTATTCCGGCTGTTCGCATCTTCAACATATTCAATACTGTACTGAATGTTTCTTTTCCACTGCTGAAACATTGGATTTTCGATCACATAGCTAGATGTATAATTATCCATTTTCATTTTCTCCGATACTTCTATTCACTCCTACCGCTCTTAGACGAAACATTTTTGTATTGCCCCAGCTTGTAAGAAATGTTAGCTAGTGTAGTTTAACAAATGGTGCATTCCTGGGATATATAAATATAAATAGTTAGGCAAGTAAGTGTTATAAGAACGTATATATTTTTTAATTCTTATTATTCTATTTTAATTATTATTACAGTTGTTACATACGAATCATATTTTGTCAGTGTAATAGTTTGGTTCAATTTATAAAGTGGCTTGGAGTGTGGATGTAGTGATCAAAATACCGGAATATTGCTGGTATTCCTGAAAACAGACTTTCTGTGGTGGGACAAAAGTTAATATTTAGAAAATGGGTGACCTTTGATGGAAATAGGAAGCGCGGGGGAAGGACAAACTTCGAGAAAATAAAAAGAAACTACGACGTCAATACAAAATGACAGTGTGCATTTTTAGCGTGCAAATTAAGATTTTAAAAAGGCAGGGAAGGAACACACGGCGTTTGCAGTTTGGGGTGAAATCACAACGCGAATACTCCAGTGTCGTGGATTATTTCATTAGGATGAATTTAATTGTAAAAAAATAACACCCGCTTGGATATAGTATAATTTTACATATCTCACGTATATCCTAACAAAATGAGTTGAGACAAATGACTGTAAACTGAAAGAAAAATATGTTAAAAAGTTATAAAATCCTCAAATGTTCGTGTTTAAACTGGAGCAAATGAAAGGTAGTTTGTTTACATGACAAATGTAATGTACATTTTATAGCATTTTTATGTCATCTCAAATAAAGAAAATTAATGGGTTTTATCAAAACCTTAAAAACACAGTTTCTGCAAAGATGATGTACCATAAACTTTTCCCTTGTCACACCTTTTTTTGAACTCCATGGCGGTTTAGGGAGGGGGCGGGCATATAGACACCACATGTCTGTCCGTCTGTTCGAGCAAACACCCTTAAAGAAGAAAGCCACATAAACGGACAGTTAAAGTGGTTATTGTCACTGTTTTGGTGATGTGGAAAGAATGACTCATAAAGAGCAAAGAAAAAAGCCTATAAACCCAAAATGTCACATTTTTGGTGCTAAAAATAATTTTTTACGGTCTTGCGTATACAACCTTTCTTTCTTGACTGATATATTCCATGTATAGTTGGTAAATATCTTGGGTGGTTTCTAACTTTGGGTTTAGTTAGGGGGCTATACTGGGTTCAAAAGGTAAATGTTACTGGTACTAAAATCTTAACACCCTACGTTCATTGACCACTGTGCATGTGCATTAAAATACATGTACATTGACAAATTTGCAGTAATTACGGAAAATATCCATTGCCTTTAGCAATATTTTTGGTTTATTTCTTTATGTGAAAGATAAACTGACAATCAGACAGACAGATAGGCAGACCGATGGACGGGCACACAAGACAGACGACTATTTAAAAAACTAACATAAACATAAACCTAATAGTAATGATTCTGCTTCTATTTGATAATTTGATAAGAAGCCATTGATCGCCCGTTATGTGTTTGTATAATGTCTTTAGTAAGTCAAATGGGGTCCCTGCCAAATTTGTTCAGAGAAATTCATATTTATTGACAGAGAGTCGCGTTGGTACTGGCACTTTTTTCTCTCGAGTTTTCTGCCCGGAATTGAGCTTCGTCGCAAACAACGAAACGTGTGTGAAATATATTTTTTTACATTACTGTATAGCTAACTTAGTTGCGATCGATTATTGGTCGGAGGAATTATTTGACACGTGCGGTGAAGTTGGAGAGTTTTCTGTCAAACATAAGTATTGTGTCAGAACGTGGTGAAACATCTTAAAATAGCCGAGAGATGTGCATTAGAAATGAAATTTGACTTTGAAAGCCCCAATGAGTTATGTTGTTAAATAATTCAAAATAACTACTTTGTATCGCGGTGTAATCGCGTGATGCATGACTTTCACGAGACTTGATAATCGTGAAAGAAAACACAGAAAAAAAACAACATTACATTATGCCTTACTAAGATCTTGTTCAAAACATGATGAATATTGCATAGCACAAGTTTATCTATGAATCGTATTCTAACAATACTAGATTTAACATGCATGTATTAAAGCTGCATGTCTCCAGATGAGCCAAAATATTTCGAGAAAGTCAAAGCTGAAAGAAATGTATTAACATTTTAAGAAAAGTAAAAATAGTCAAAATTCAACTAATAATTCACATGTTGTGGGCTATTAATGACTGATTTACAGTAATTATCACCATATTTTTACTGCGTGACTAACGTGGTGCATGGGTGGTATATTTTGAAAATTTTGACCTCTTTTTGGTAAATAACGTGGATTGTAATATGTAAATTATTTTCTTTGTTCACTTTACAATATTTTATTTTAAATATAGTTTCAAAAACTTTCATGAAATATAGCTGTAGGTTTGTAACGAGAACATATAAAACAAATTAAAGGAATCTTGCCGAAGTATTTTGACATGACGGGACTGGATATACTTTTTCGAGATTAATGTTCAAATAAGTTTCGTTAAACATGATTTTTATATATTTCAGAGGGGGAAGCAGTCTGCGAATATGCTGAAATATTTCCTCCCAAGACGTATCAAGCGAATTGTGTTTTTGTTACTGTACGGACTGCTTCTATTTGCTTGTATAACGTACTGGAGACTTCCGCAGCCGAATATTAACATACCAATCAAGGATTATCTCGCCAAAAACGAATGGTTACTTAAAACTAATGATAAACATTTAATAGGGACCAGAAATCAGACGTGCGTCCATCCAAATTTGCCACTTTGGAATAAAGACATTGAAAAAATTATAGAAATTTCAGTACCAGTCAAATGTTCCAGAGAGACAGACTGGGTATACACCGGAAGTGGAAAGTTCTATATTTCTTTAAAAGCCGTCAAAAATCACGGAGAAATAAAATGCTCATATGAAGCAATCGTAAATGATAATGAAGAATTTAAAATTTTAGATCCTGTCTATCCAATGTTGAATGGAAGTGATCTTAAATCAGATGCATTCAAAGTTTATTGCAAAGCCTCAGATGGCAAAACATACTCTAATACGCATGCGTGTATAGCGCCACAGTCTCCGCGAATGGCCGGTGAATATTCTTCAAATTCAGAACGTTTTAATGTGTTAATTCTTGGACTGGACTCGACATCGCGGCAAATGTATATGCGCATGTTGCCAAAAACTTACAAATATTTTACGGAAGTACTGGGTGGTTCCCTGCTCGAGGGTTACAATATTGTTGGTGACGGCACAACACAAGCTTTAATGCCGCTTCTCTCGGGAAAGCGGGAAACAGAAATACCAGAAACAAGACGTGATAGGCCGGGTGCAAGTTTCGTTGACGAACATCTTGAATTTGTATGGACGCGGTACGAAAAGAAAGGATACGTAACACAATGGGCGGAGGACACTCCAGAGTCTAGCACTTTTAACCTTAGATTAGTCGGGTTTAAATCCCAACCAGTTATTCACTATCTTCGACCATTTTACTTGTCTATGGCTGATTCTGCACAATCATATATGACATCATTTCTAAATTTGTTCAAAGAAAAGAGAAAAAATTGTTTGGGCTCAAGAACAACATACCAAGTTTATCTTGACTGGATGAAAGAAGGATTGGAAACGAACAAGGGAAAGAACTTCTTTTCGTTTGGATTCATTTCATCATACAGTCATAATGATAACAGTGATTTGGTACAGATAGATGATGATAATGTAGAATTTCTTAAGTATTTACGGAATGAGAACATCTTGAAAAATACGTTCCTGGTCATGATGAGTGATCATGGTTTACGTTACGGTCAGTATCGAATGACCGAGCAGGGAAAACTGGAAGAAAGAATGCCGTATTTTGGTGTTTACATTCCGGCTAAATTCCGGGCAAAATATCCTGACAAGTACACTGCTTTCATGCAGAATTTAAATCGCCTGGTAGTGCCATCAGATATACATAAAACTCTTTTAGAATTAATTGATGAAACGCCAGAAAAGATGAACAGATCTGTTTACTCGTTGTTTTCTCCCATACCTGAAAAACGCACATGCGCAGACGCTGACATTGATCCACATTGGTGCGCATGCCTAAAAACAGAATCTGTTTCCGTTTCAAATCAAAACGTTGTAGCTGCCACAAATAAAGTCATATCTTTTATAAATGATCTCTTAAAAAATGTTTCTTCCCTTTGTCATGGATTAACATTACAAAAAGTTATGAAAGCGTCTGCGTTAGGGACTGATACAAATGTGCTCAAATTCAAAGGAAGTTCGGACCGGGACGGACGTGTAGCGGACTTTAGCGACAAGCTGAGTGCGGAATTTATTCACTACCTTATAACTTTTGAAACTGCCCCTAGTTCGGCAATATTCGAAGCTAGTGTTTTTATGAACGTGAAAACAGGGGAAATAACTGCCAAAGAAAATGAGATAAGTAGACTTAATAGCTACAATGATGCTGCAAAATGTATCCATTCTACTCATCCGTCCCTACGGCCATATTGTTATTGCCGGTGAGCTAAAAAATAGAAATACATTACATGTCGTCTGTGTGACTATTCATATGGTGTTTGATTTTGAAAATTTCAGAACCTTTCAGATGACCAGCAATCTGCTTACACGCTGAAAGCTACCACTCTTTCACACAAAACGGGTCTAAAAATATCAACATCATGACGTAACAGTTGTAATGTTTCACTTGACCTTTACGATCACAACCGTTATAGTGTAGCGAGTAGGACAGTTTGAGCCAGGTAGAACTTCCATGATTACCGCCATATGAACACATCTGCCGGTTATTACGTGCAGACTTTGATTTGAATTTTTTTAATAAAATCAACTGCAGAGAAATTAACTCAGGTGAACACTGCTGTTAAGAAATTTCGTTGTTTTTGTTTTTTTTCTTGTTTTTTTTTTCTATATTTATACATGTATATATTTATTAATTTTTGCTACATTGGAAAGTGTTTTCATTATTTATTATTATGTCACATCAATAAAAAAAAAGATGACGGAAAGATGACGGAACTTACCAAAGATATCCGATTGAGAAACAAACTCCACCGTGGTCTATAAAAGCCTAAAATATGTAATTTGAATTTCTGACACAGATCAGCTGGGACACTAAAAAGAACGATATGCACAAAATAATAAACAAATATATCCTGAAATAAACAGAAAATCGTAATTTTGTGCTCTTTTAGCCCGATTTTGGTGAAAACGTTGCAACGCTTTTCATTTTCGGATCATTTTCCACGATAAGATTAACTATTCTGAGAAGAAAAAAAACGCTTTATACATGTGAATACATCTAATTGCTTTAGATCTACATGGAAAGGAACGTTAATCTCGAAAAAAAATCATTTCTAGTCCCGTCATGCCAATAGACCTCAGTGGAGTCCCTTTAACATTCTAGTTCCCGGATAAATACAGAGTGAGAAAGGGACGTTATATTTTAAAGTATAATTATGGTGAAAGAAAGGGTTTGACTGACATTTGGTAAAATCTCAAGTATATTTTGTTCATTGTACATTGACAAATTTGCAGTTTCGGAGAATATCCATTGCCTTTAGCAATATTTTTGGTTTATTTCTTTAATGTGAAAGAATCTAAACTGACAAATCAGACAGACAGATAGGCAGACCGATGGACGGGCAGGCACACAGAGAGACGACTATTTAAACAAACAGGCATTTTGTTTGATACCATTATCTGCATGTTTAAAATTCCAAGCTTATACACAGTATTACAAAAATTGCTTTTTTTCTTTCTTCTGCGTCCATCCAAATTTGCCAATGTTTTATATTTCTTTAAAAATCGTCAAAAATCATGGAGAAATAAAATGCTCATATGAAGCAATCGTAAATGATAATGAAGAATTTAAAATTTTAGATCCTGTCTATCCAATGTTGAATGGAAGTGATCTTAAATCAGACGCTTTCAAATTTAATTTAACATTACAAAAAATTATGAAAGCGTCTGCGTTAGGGACTGATACAAATGTGCTCAAATTCAAAGGAAGTTCGGACCGGGACGGACGTGTAGCTGACTTTAGCGACAATCTGAGTGCGGATTTTATTCACTACCTTATAACTTTTGAAACTGCCCCTAGTTCAGCAATATTCGAAGCTAGTATTTTTATGAACGTGAAAACAGGGGAGATAACTGCCAAAGAAAATGAGATAAGCAGACTTAATAGCTACAATTATGCTGCAAAATGTATCCATTCTACTCATCCGTCCCTACGGCCATATTGTTATTGCCGGTGATCTAAAAAAAATGAGAGGTACATTACATGTCGTCTGGGTGACTATTCAGATGTTGTTTGATTTATAAAATTTCAGAACCTTTCAGAACACCAGCAATCTGCTTACACGCGGAAAGCTACCACTCTCCCACACAGAACGGGTCTAAAAACATCAACCTATTTGATTACAGTTTACAACTAGAACTGCCGCTATCATGGCGTGAATACCCCCGCATACCACTTTGTCAGAATCAACAGTGGCCATTTAGAGCTCAAGGACAACCTCCCTGCCAAATCTGAGGTTACTAAGCCAGTGCATTGCTAAGTTATGTATTCTACATGCTTCAAATGTAAAAAATGTCAAAATCAATACATTGCGGACAGGACATTCCTTAGCAATTGAGAAGAAAAGCTTTTTTTGTCAAGGTCCCTGTGACCTTGACCTTTGACAAGTGACCTCAAAATCAATAGGGGTCACCTTATAGTCATGATCAACATCCATGCCAAATATGAAGACTGTGGGTCAAAGGAATCTTAAGTAAATGGGTGGACAAACTTTTTGAAGTCAAAGTCCCTATGACCTTGACCTTTGATCCAGTGACCTCAAAATCAAAAGGGGTCATCTACTAATCATGACTAACCTCCATTCCAAATATGAAGACTGTGGGTCATAGGAATCTTAAGTTATTGGGCGGACAAGCTTTTTGAAGTCAAGGCCCCTGTGACCTTGACCTTTGACCTGGTGACCTCAAAATCAATAGGGGTCATCTACTAATCACGACTTACCTCCATGCCAAATATGAAGACTGTGGGTCAAAGGAATCTTAAGTTATTGGGCGGACAAGCTTTTTGAAGTCAAGGCCCCTGTGACCTTGACCTTTGACCTGGTGACCTCAAAATCAATAGGGGTCATCTACTAATCACGACTTACCTCCATGCCAAATATGAAGACTGTGGGTCAAAGGAATCTTAAGTTATTGGGCGGACAAGCTTTTTGAAGTCAAGGCCCCTGTGACCTTGACCTTTGACCTGGTGACCTAAAAATCAATAGGGGTCATCTACTAATCATGACTAACCTCCATGCCAAATATGACGACTGTAGGTCAAAGGAATCTTAAGTTATTGGGCGGACAAGCTTTTTGAAGTCAAGGCCCCTGTGACCTTGACCTTTGACCTAGTGACCTCAAAATCAATAGGGGTCATCTACTAATCATGACTAACCTCCATGCCAAATATGAAGACTAAGGGTCAAAGGAATCTTAAGTTATTGGGCGGACAAGAAAAAACCGACGGACGGCCGGACGGCCAGACGGCCGAACGGACGGACGGACGAACAAGCTGATTCCAGTATACCCCCCTTACAACTTTGTTGTGCGGGGGTATAAATATGCATATAAGTAAAATTTGCAGTTTCAATGAGATTACTGAGGGACAACAGTTGTTATGTTTCACTTGACCATTATTATCACACCCGTTACCATGTAGCGAGTAGGACAGCTTGATGCAGATAGAACTTACTATATTAAAAACGTCAGTTTTATAGCGGATTACCAAGATATGTTCTTTTTTGTCATTTTTTATGATAATCGAAAGAAGGATAAAAAATACCAAGCGCACAATTATTCTACCCGCAACCAACAAATCAACTTGCAACCACTTAATGGGTGTGTTTATAATCACAAAATAAAACGTTGCAACGGTTTAAAATAAGAGAAAGATAAACATTGCAAATACTTAACGTAGATGTTTTTCGTGGGTACAGACATGTATTAATCATCTAGTTCCTTATAAATGTACGAGCATGTAGTGAAATTTTATCTTTTGATGACATTTTATTTCAAAAACGCCCAAATTATAATGTGTGGGAGAGCAGCTTTAAAAAGTCAGTGTTTGGTCCATTTCTGCTTCATGCCATCAAACGTTCATGAATAAACCATACCTGTTATTGGACCGTGAAATTAATGCGCCAGAAACGGCAGACTTAATACAAGAGGATCGATGGTATAAATATTTAATGTTTAACGACAGGAATAAATGCTGCATTATACCTGCATTGTATCGATTCGTTGCAGCAACTATCACGGCTTCCATATTGCACGATGCACCGGTTTCTAAGTGCAGACTTTGATTTGAAAATTTTTAATCAAATCAACTGAAGAGAAATTAACTCAGGTGAACACTGCTGTGAAGAAATTTCGTTGCTTTTTTCTTGTTTTTTTTTCTATATATATACATGTATATATTTATTAATCTTTGCTATATTGGAAAGTGTTTTCATAATTTATAATTATGTCACATCATGAAAAATGATGACGGAAATTACCGAAGATATACGTTAGGTAAAAATAAACTCAACCGAGGTCCAAAAGCCTAAAAATAAATAATTTAAATTTCTTAGATAGATTAGCTGGGACACTTAAAACAGAACGATATGCAAAATAATAATAAAGAAATATATACTGAAATAAACAGAAAATCGTATTTTGTGCTATTTTAGCCCGATTTGAGTGAAAAGCGTTGCAACGCTTTTCAATTTCGGATCATTTTTGACGATTCTGGGAAAAAAATGGAATAAGAGAACACATCTTATTGCTTTAGATCTACATGGAAAGGAACGTTAATCTCGAAAACTCACTCAAAAGTCATTTGAACCACGCCATGACAAAACCAACATAGTGCGTTTGCGACAAGCATAGATCCAGACCAGCCTTCGCATCCGCACAGTCTGAACAGGATCCATGACGTTTGATATCAGTTTCTCTACTTGTAATACGGTTTGTAAGCGAACAGCATAGATCATGATCAAATGCTGCTATTTTAAGTAGGGTTTTGATATTTTGGCAATGATTTCGTGCATAAGTTATTCGCTCTTAAGGATGTTAAAGTTTTTTTCAATAAATAACAGACTTTAATTTTATCATTTTTTCTCAACATTTCGGTTATAAGTATAATACATGTAATAAACAAGCTTATATATCTCTTTCTTACAAGTATTTTGAAAGTATTGAAAGTATTCATGTTTGATATTCAAACAGTGTGTGACCTACAGCCAGCAGTTAGATATATCATAGAGCTGAGATACATGTGTCAACCCCACTGGAACCCAGCACAATGTTGGGATAGTGACAAAAAAAAGCAATTATTAAAAGTCTTGTTTAACGAATCGTGCTTTATATGTATATATATATATATATATATATATATATATATATATATATATATATATATATATATATATATATATACATACATGTATAATAAGTATTGTGAATAAGGTGCGATATTTTTAAAATTGCTTTTTACACCATCCTAATATTGTGCCGGGTCACTATGGTTATAGCAATACACGTGTCTCTATTTTGGAGTATTGTTTTAGAATAAAAATACATTAAAGGCCCTTCACGCCTCAGAAATGGGTTTTACTTTTATTTCTTAAAAAATGTATTTTTGGTGTACTGATAGTTTCCATTTTGTTACTCATTTGCAAATTACCTAAATATTTTTGTTTCATCTGTTGTTTTTTGGCAGTTGGTACAGTTATGGATTTATTTTTTTGAAGGGAAGCAAAAATTATCTTTTTACGTTTTTTTGTAGTTTGTTAAAAAGTTTTTACTTTTATCGCTTTTTTTCTTCAGAAACCAACTATAAATTTCAAAAACCCGTCTTTTAAACGCTATTAATTCACATTTGTCCTTTGTAAAGAAGTAAAATTTCTTAGATTCTGAGGGATAATGTACTTTTAAAAACTGTGTACATGGTTACCCAATAATCAGTGCTGGGTACAAACCAATGTATGGTTATTTTACGAAATCCATGTTTTTATACAATTTGTACATTTATATGTGTTGCTTTTTATTTTACTTTAACATTGTTAAATTATTATTATTAAACCAGCCATTAACTATAAATGAGTTCTTATTAAATCAAGGCATAAAATGTGAAATACATGCATAACGATATTCAAGGTTCAGTGGGTTAACACATCTCCTTCCCTTACTCGCAAGATA